TCAGGACTTGAAAGGACCTCCGAGTCACTGAATCAAAGCTCCATGAGAGTCAAATTCCTCTGTGAATTCTTTTCTTGCAGGGAGGGTGGGGAGAACTGTCCAAACCTCAGTCTTTTGAGGGTGAGTTTAATTTTTGAAAACAGAAAAACTTTAGACAAAGCCAAGTCTAGTGAAGAAGGTCAACAACCAGGATGAACACATTAAAATAAGGTGGGACCAAAAAAATGACAAAACTGGTTTGCTTCTCTGAGCCACGAAATGGTTCTGAGAGGTAATTCCAGCAGCACCTAGAGTAACACTCTCCTCCCACTGCTGCTGCTGGCATAGCCTCTCCAAGAGTAGATGAAGAACTCATATTAAGATCTTTAAGGCCAGGCATGGTGGCTCACACCTGTTATCCCAGCACTTTGGGAGGCTGAAGTAGGTGGATCACCTGAGGTCGGGAGTTCAAGACCAGTCTGACCAACATGGAGAAACCTTGTCTCTACTAAAAATACAAAATTGCCCTTGGATGGTAGCACATGCCTTTAATCCCAGCTACTCAGAGGCTGAGGCAGGAGAATCACTTGAGCCCGGAAGGTGGAGGTTGCCGTGAGCCAAGATTGCACCACTGCACTTCAGCCTGGGCAATGAGAGCAAAACTCTGTTTCAAAAAAAAAAGGTGGGGTGGGGGGAGGAATCTTTAAAAATGGGCATCATCTTTGGCTCAGAAATGCAATTTTTAGGAATTTATCATAAGGAAAATATTGGGATGATAAATAAAGATTTAACTAATAGAAGTTTGGTGCCGTGTTGGTCACAGCTTAAAAATATGAACTGGCTTAAATGTCCAACAGTAGGACTGGTTAAACCTACAGGGGGCATATAAAGTCGACAGGGTACTGTGCAGTCATGAGAAGTGATGCTACTGAAATGTTTCTGTTGATACAGGAAACTGCATACATTCAACAAAAGAGCACACAATAGATGAGTGGGCAAAAAGCATTTTGTATGTATACAATTGAATACTATTCAGCTGTAAAAAAAGGAATGAAATTCTGTCATTTCTGGCCATGTGGATGGAACTGGGCAACATTAAGTGAAATGAGCCGGGCACAGAGAGTTACACACCACTTGTTCTTGCTCACTTGTGGAGCTAAAAAAAAGTTGATTGTATAGGAGTAAAAAGTAGAACGGAGGATATTAGAGGCTAGGAAGGACGGGGGGAAGAGAGGGATAGGGAGAAATTTATTAAAGGATATAAAATTATAGCTAGATATGAGGAATAAGTTCTAGTGCTCTATACCACTGTAGAATTCCTATAGTTAACAATAATATGTAGTTCCAAACAGCTGGAAGGAGGGTATTATATGAACCTCACAAAAAGAGATGATAAATGTTTGAGATGATAGATGTGCTAATTGCCCTGATCTGATCACTATGCATTATGTGTATTGCAACATCATTACCTACCCCATGAATGTGTACAATTATTATTTATCAATGAAAAAAACGAGCAGATTACCTAAGGTGTGAAGATGTGATCCAGGCTAAAGTTTGTAGACATGGGGAGGGGATAGAAAGTAATATGGAGGCTGGGGGCAGAGGCTCACACCTGCAATCCCAGCACTTTGGGAGGCTGAGGTGGGTGGATTGCTTGAGGCCAGGAGTTCAAGACCAGCCTGGCCAACATGGTAAAACCCTGTCTCTACTAAATGTACAAAATTAGCCAGGTGTGGGGCTTACACTTGTAATCCCAGCTACTCAGGAGGCAGAGGTAGACTATGTCCCTGATCCAACTGCTTGAATCCAGGAGGCAGAGGTTGCAGTGAGTTAAAATCACACCACTGCACTCCAGCCTGGGTGACAGAGTGGGACTCTGTCAAAAAAAAAAGCAAGTGATAACATACCACAAGTTGTGAATGGTGAGCAGGATTGTGGATATTTTTACATTCTTTTTGCTTGTCTATATATTCTCACTTTTCTATAACAAAAAACCGTTTTTTAGAACAAAAAATAATACAGGGAAACATGAGAGAGAGAGAGAGAGAGAGAGAGAGAGAGAGAGAGAGAGAGAGACTGAGATTTTGCTATCCTTAGAGAGAAACTATGAGGTCCCTTTGCCATTTGCTGGAGCTGCTGTAGCAAAGCACTATAAACTGAGCGGCTTCATCAACAGAAATGTATTGTCTCACAGTTCTGGAGGCTAGAAGTTCAAGATCAAGGTGCTGCAGGTCTGGTTCCTTCTGAGGGCTGTGAGGGAGAATCTGTTCCAGGCCCCTCTCCTTGCTTTGGGTACTTGGCTGGCAATCTTTGGCATTCCTTGGCTGCTGTGGCATCTCTCCAGTCCCTGCCATCATCCTCACGTGGTGTTCTTCCTGTGTATGTCTGTGTCCCAATTGCCTCTTTTTATAAGGATACCAGTTATATTAGATCAGGGACCTACGCTACTCCAGGATGACCTCGTCTTAACTAATTACATCTGTACTAACCCTCTTTTAAAATAAGGCCACATTCTGAGATACTGGAGGTTAGGACTTCAACATATGAATGTGGGAGAAGAGCACAATTCAACCTAAAATAGTACCCAGGGAGGTGGTCACACGGCTCCTACCCCACTGAAGTCAGTGCCCACTTCCCACCATAACCCACCCAGCTGTTGTCCAGCATGAGCATGGGTGAGGATCAGGAGCTGCGGGGTGGCATAACTGACCTTCTCCCTGCAGCACTACTGGTCCCAAGAGATTATGATGATTACCGAGACCCGAGCACTGCATCCTCCCTGCTTGGAGATGCTCGGGCCAGGGCTGCAGACCTGTGTGGGCATTCACATTAGCACCTCTGAACTAGGAAGCTCGGTTTAAAGATTCAAAAGGAAGGAGTAATCTAAAGGAAAATAAAGGACACATGCCGACTTTTGTTTGATTATAGGAGATGTGATTAAAAAAAAATAGAAAAACGAGAGAAGAAAGAAAAAAGTATTATGAATATTACACATTAAATCCCACAGATGGATGCTGATAGCAGCTTTATTCATAGTTGTCAAAAACTGGAAAGGATCAAGATGTCCTTCAATAAGTGAATGGACAAACAAATTGTGGTACATGCATGGGATGGGACATTATTCCGCAATAAAGGGAAAGGAGCTATGAAGCTCATGTATGAAAAGGCATGATGTTCTCAAAAAGACATAGAGGGGCTGGGTGCAGTGGCTCACACCTGTAATCCCAGCACTTTGGGAGGCCGAGGCAGGTGGATCACCTGGGGTCAGCAGTTCGAGACCAGTCTGGCCAACATAGTGAAACCCCATCTTTACTAAAAATACAAAAATTAGCCAGGCATGGTGGTGCCCACCTGTAATCCCAGTTACTTGGGAGGCTGAGGCAGTAGAATCACTTGAACCCAGAAGGCAGAGGTTTCAGTGAGCCCAGATCACACCATTGTACTCCAGCCTGGGCAACAGAGTGAAACACTGTCTCAGAAAAAAAAAAAAAAAAAAAAAAAAAAGACATAGCGAAGTTTCAAATGCACATTGCTAAGTGAAAAGGTCAATCTGAAAAGGTGGCATATTGTATAATCCCAGGTACTATATGGCAAAACTGTGGTGATGGTAAAAAAGATCAGTGGTTGCCAGGGGTTGGCAGCGTGTTGAGGGAGGTGAACAGGTGGGGCACAGAGGATATGTAGGGCTGTGGAACAATTTTGTATTCTACTCTAATGGTGGACACATGCCATTAGGCATTTGTCAAAACCCACAGAATATACTACACAGAGTGAGTCCTATTGTAAAACATGGACTTCAGTTAATGAGAAGCTATCAATATTCGTTCACCAGCTATAACAAATGTACCATACCAATGCAAGATGTTAATGATGGGGAAACTGTATTTAGGGGAGGGAAGAATATGGGAACTCTGTGTACTACCTGCCCAAGTTTTCTGTGACCTCACAAGTCTATCAACTAAAAAAATCACCCTCCAAAATCTATTCTGAATAAAGAAATTTAAAGGAAATCATGCACTTAGTCAGCTACCCAAAAGGAGCTCTTGGCAGATAAAAGTTTGGGAAACTGCCAAGAACTAGCTCGTTTTCAAAGGCAGCTGACAAGACACAGATGCCCCAAGTGTGACCCAGCAGGATGCCCCAATGTGAAGGCAGCCGTGCCTGCTCACGCCCATCTCAGACTCAACAGAGCCTTCCAATCTTGCTCAGCAGTGTTGGGCTTGGGGGAGGGGAGGAAGACCCAAATTCTTCCTCAAAGAAATAACAGTTTGGAACATGCACAAGAGTGTCAACAAGTTATGTAGATCTTATCAGCATGGCATTTTTGGTGCCTCCCAGCTATCCAGAGAGGCTCCACCAGCCTGTTCACACCCTGCAGCTTCCCACGCACTCCGAGCCTATCAACACCTCCGAAGGCTCTGCCCGGCAGGCCTGCCTCCCCAGGGCATGACCAGCCCAAACTTTCTCTCTGCCCTCATCCTCTCAGGATCCCATGGTACCATCCATCCTCTTGATCTGCATGAGGACCTGCTGTCCATTCCTCTCCTGACATTCTGTAGCTTGGTTGGGGCTAAATGTCTATAAATTGGAACAATACCTTTCGCTCAGTTTGGAAAGAATACTCAAGATGGAAAATTTGGATGTTACATCTGAGGGAAAAGAATTTGTAGTTTCAGTAACGTGAGAAATTACGCAATGTCACCATTGACGTATTTTAAGCTTATACGAGGTGTTTCCATGTTTGCAGAAAAAAATCACAATTTTGCAAAATTGTGGAGAAGGGATAAGGCAGAAGACTGAAAGCCCTTCTAGTTCTGGCTATGTGTATATATATATACACTGCTGCCTGATAATGCAGCCTTTCTGATGTACTTTTGCCAAACAATGCAAAAAAAGCGTTTTTTTAGACTAATGAAACTAGAGTCTTTCTATCTCAGCTTTCTTTCACAGTTACTCGTTCATTATATTAAAGTCAGCGAATGGCTCTCCATGTTTTGTTTTCTTTTTATCATTTTTAGGCAGCCTTAAGTGCCTTGAAACAATTTTCTGAACAAGGTTTGGATCCAATAGATGGAACAATGAATATCGAAAAAGGTCCTCTTGAGAAGTGAGTAAATCCCGTCAGTATTCTTTCATTTGTAATTCTGTAACTGTACAAAAAAGACAAAGATAACTAATGTTTTTAAAAAGTCAAGACAATATCTTGACTTTTTACACAATTATCAGTAATACAATTAAATGTAAAGAAATGCAAAACACTATAAAAGGCCATATATATCTCCCGTAATGTGTCTGTGAAAGTTTTAACCTACTAATTGATCATTGTTTCTGCATTTCACTGCCTTTGTTGGAAATACTTGTGTGTTGTCTTGACTGTAGAGACTTGCAAAACTCTGCAGTATGAAGTGATTGGTTTTCACTTCGTACTGTAGAGCATCGTCTGGTTAAGCCGTTTTCAGAAGTAAAAGTTTTCACTCACACTCCTCCTGCTAAGTTGCCGCCAAAGCTGAGAGAAAAGAAAAAGAAGGTGAGAGGAGGCACCCCTCCCCTTGGCTGCGTTTGTTTTTTCACATTGTTGTCTAATGAAACACCAGCACACGTTGCCGCCAAAGCTTGGCTTCCAAGGGCTACAAAGGCAAAAATGCAGCTATCATAATTATTTCTGAAATTCAGCTCATGGTTTTGTTTTAATGAGATGTGAACGGAAGGTTTCATCAAAGAGACTGAATTTGGGGTCTCTCCAGAGACCCAATTTATACTAAAAAAACATGGGAAAGGGTTTTATTTACATAGTAGAATTCAAACTCTTTCAAAGCAGTAATAATAGCAGGTGGGATCTTAGAACACATGCAGGAGACAACGTCTTTAGATTTAAGAGAAAATAAAAATAGTCAACTCAGGGAGTAAAAACCAGATACACTGATCCTACAGTTAAAATGAACATACCATAAAAGTGTTTTTAATAAGATAAAACAGCATTTGGTCATTAATATTTAGAAGGTGAGAGTGTGAGAAGAAAACATTTGGTAAACAGACGTGGCATGTTAAGTTGTCTATAGATTGGCAACCATTTATAAGCTAATTTAATCAAAAACATTTCCACATGATCTCATCAGTAGACTATCTGAACATAAATATTGTTGTTTCACTTTAAAATGTCACTTTTGTGGTGACCTTTGAATCCTCTGTGCCATCTGCTAATAAACATGTCTGAAGATGTGCAACCCCAGACCTTCAGCTCTTGTTAATGTATTAATCTTTCAGACAAGCCAAGCATCTGAGAGAGAAAGCGGACAATAACCAGGCAGCCCCGGGCTCCATCGCTCAGGACTGCAAGAAATCAAACTCGGCCGTCTAGCAGCTCCCAGAACCCGCGGCTGCCACCGCATCCTTATAAACCTGTCAGCACGCATGAGGGTGTCTGTGTTCAGGGAAATGAATGACTAATACCATTATTTGAGTCTTATGTGAAGACAACACTATTCTAACACAAGAGATAATATACATGGTACTGTTTATTCAACTGGGGAAAAATAAAACTTTGAGCATTTCCCTTGGAACTCGAGATCAGATCATAACTCATTTGCCCAGAGGCAGCAGAAATCTGATCCTGCTACTGGAGCTTAAAATAACAAGTAAAGAAAAGTGTTAGAAACAGAGTTAAAATTTTAACATGATTAATAATAGAGAAGTTGGGTTTGGTTCTGTTGTTATGATTGTTTTGTCGTGGTGCTTGTGTTCAGTTATGTTCTCTCTCTCTCATTTTAAATAATGCTTGACAATTCGAAAACTAACCAATGATGTGCTGTGGAATGTGATGGTTGTTGTCTTCATATAGAGTCACATGGTTTCTCTTTTTATGCAGATGTTTATTATCTTCATCCTATATCAGTATGAATAACTATAAGGTGCACTACAAAAAGATGTATGCAAACAAACATGTTTTAAATCACGTCAGATATTTGATGAAAAATACAAACTAATGTTAGGAGCAAGTAGTTTCTTCATACTCCAGGAACTGAAAACAAAGCAGTTGTGGGTTTTGAGCTCCATATATGCTTAGCAAGTAAGGGGGCGTCTTGCCCCTATATATCATTTTCCCGGATTCCACTCCCAGTTGTGGGAATCGCGCCCACCCCCATCCATGTGTTGTAGCCACTCACGGTTTGCATCAAGAGTGTTTTTCCTAACTGCCTCTGGACTTGGGACAGTGAGTAGGATCAAAAATAAATAATGTACATGGCGGGGAAGGGAAAATCTGTTGGAGTTGCTTCCAGCCAGCCACGCTCCGGGCCAGCATGTTGGAATCCAGCGTGGAGCAAATGCAGTAAAAATGTGGTTGGTTTCTGTGTGAAGCTCTGTTGTTGTTCTTTCGTTCTCTCACTCTCATCTTTTAAATATCACCTCCGTGAAACCCATCCGAAAGGCTACCACCCAGCCTAGTCACCCTGCCCAGCAGTGGAATTAGAGGACAGATAGGCTGTACCTGCGAAACTGCAGAGCCGCCTCTGGGTGACTCGGGCCAGGTTCCTGGCCAACGTCATCGCATTGTTCAGGCTTTCTCCTTATTGATTTGCAAACGTTGTGCAATGAGAAAACACTATATGGTCTAACTGCTCGACCCAACATGACAATAGGAATATAATTATATAAGATTTCACAAGCAAAACCGCCACAAATCATGATCTGGCTGACTCACACGCGACTGGAGAATAAACAAACAGCAACATAAGGAAATAACTCCAGGGTTGTTTTTAATGATTCCCACGTGGGGAAGTCCGCCAGTATTGGGAGGGCTGGGTGCCCTTGGAGGAAATAGGTTATGTTACATAAAGCTGGGTCCTTGCAAAAAAAGCAGCACATTTGTAAAGTTGGGGCTCACACAGGTAAACTGGATAGAAACTCAGTCCTGCTGCCTGACACCAGGGCGCAGATGGCCCTAAATCATTCCCTTTGAAGGGCAGGGGCCCTTTCTTCTGCTAGGCCTGTGTCACCTGAGGTTTAGACCCTCAAATGGGGCGAGGGACTGCTTCAGGCAGGATTGTTGAAGGGGATCTTTAGTTTACCCAACGCAATAAACATAGGCTCCCTCCTGCAGTCCACATGGAACTACACCAAAGCTGTCAGGTCTGTAGGAGAGCAGTGAGCTCCAGGAACAAACATAGCTAATCAGTTCTCATGACCCAAGTGTCTGAAGGATTTAACTCTTGAGCCGTCTGACACAGAGTCTTCCTTAGAGCTGATATATCCATGAATACAGCAGTGGTCGGGGGCGGCGAGGGAATAGAAATTTGCATAAGAGCTCCAGCTTAGTGATAGCTTATTTATACAAAATTCCATCCTCTCTCTACCTGCTCACAGAGCCCAGCAAGGCCGTTGGGTATTTTCCCCTGCATAGCAGCACTTCCTGGGAACCGCCTGGGTTTTCTTTGGGTTGAATTACCAATGCAGATGATGGGTGGCCCGCAGTTGTTGGCAGGGACTCGCTGCAACGCTCGGTTCCAAAGAGCAATGTTATATATCATTAGAGGGGAAACCATTAAGTAGATTTATTGAAAGTATGTTTCTTCGGCACAAGGAGATCTTTTTGATGAAAAATGGAACTCATTATTCTCTAAAGGACACAGATTGACTTATCTCCTTTATCAATTACAGTGTCTGCTTTCAGCTTTTCTCAATCAAAGCACTGGGCTTTGTAGTTGCTTTCCAATGCTGAGGCCAATGTGTTTTATGAAAAAGGTTTATTTTTACATTTTAATTGGAAATATAATATTGTACGTTGGAACTCGGACCATCCTTTCCAGGACAACTTGCCAGAGATCAACGGTGAGACACCACCCATCAGGCTGTGACAGGCATCCCTCCCCTTTCCTGGAGTGACCCCTCTGATAAGCTGTCCTAGCATTCTTCTCCCCAGAAAGCATTTTTAATAGTGATTCTTTTTGACAGCTTCAACCAATTTCCTGCACCATAAAATGAGAATAACTTAATGAAAAACTTGCCCTATTATACAGAGGTTTTCAGGACTCCTAGTGACTTTGGAAACGTGGTCCAGACCAACTGGCTGGTATTTAAATCCTGCTGCAGGTGGGTTATCGCTGCAACTGCCTAAAGTTTGTTTTGTACTTTTAATTTCCAAAGGCCACCTCTTGCCACTATGGCCAAGAATGATTGAGGACCTAACACTTTTGTACACAGAGCTGACAAGCTGTTAATTGCATAATTCTGTGTGAATTTATCTTTAAGCTGCTCATAGCCTGACCCACCATAATATAGGCACCAGATAAATGTAGAAATCATACATTGAATAAATGAACAAATGGATGATTTATCATTCAACACTCAATGAAGAAATAAATGTTAAAGCTCACTGTTTTTTTTTTACATGACGCAGAGGCAGGGACCCATGGCAATCAATGGTGTTACTATTGGTTAGATATTATATTTGCAATCCAAGGGGAACTGAGACATTTCTTAATCAAGAACATGGCAAGTCAAAAAAACCCTCACTTCAGAGGACTTCAGACCCATGGAACCATCCTTCCCCCATGTTCCCACTTCTGTATTTATATCCTTTCTGTCGGCTGGTAGATTTCATTCTAATCCCGGATGCATTCCACTGTTTCCACAATCACATGTGCGTGTCTTTGTGAGGAGGGACTTAGTAATAACTGGGTCAAAACAGAGACTGCCTTAGACCTGATCAAACCCAACTGTCTTTTTCTGGCAGACACTACCCAAGTTCTCTCTCACCTTGCCAAGACTTGTTTAAAAGTTACCACGTTGGGGAAGCGTTCCTCTTATGTCCCAACCTCTTAACAGGAGCAAGAGCTTCCTTGACTATATCCCCAGTATACTCTGATGTGTGCTGGAAATTCAGAAAATAAATAAACTGACAAAACAATTTCACTCTAAAGAAGCCACGCTCTAGCAACTGGGAAAGACAGATAAGGAGATGAGCCTGGAGAGTTGAACTCTCTGTACTCAGAGTCACCGGGTTGCAGTCGTTGTTTACCTCCCTGACTCTTTGGGTCCGTCACATTCATTCCTTCACTCACCCTACCATGCTTTGGCCACCATGGTATTCATTCTGGTGACACTGTCAAATAAGCCAGTTCTGCTGTCATGAAACTTACACTCTAGTGGTAAACTCTTGCTGCCACTCAAAGCCCAAACATCCATAGACTCCCCTTCCCCACATACACATATATTAGGTTTAAAGCTCTTTAAGCTCATCAACACTCAGAAGACCAATCATCCTAATTTATTCCTCACCATATCTCCTGACCCAGGAACAATGCCCACCTTAATTCAGTAAGTGCTCAGTAAATGTTTGTTGAATAGATGAATGACCCCCAAAACCCTGCATGATAGATTTTCCCATCTAACTGCATCAAAAATCTGGCTTCCTGGGTGGAGCCTCCTGCCTGGGTGAAAGCTTCTAGTTCTAGTTCTGTTCGTGTGTAGCCTTGTTGATGTCATTTAGTATCTTCAAGTTTCAGCTTTTCAAGCAAAAACTGGAGATAAGAATATGCAGGAGTGTATGGAGTATTTTTTAAAGTGCTCAAGTTGTGAATGTAAATACAAACTTCAATCAAAGTGAAGAAGTATTAGGGAAAGAGTAATGGTCTGGGAGTCAAGTCTAGGGGCCTGGTTTGGACACAGATATGACCTTGGCAAGGGATGTGGCCTTCCTGGGCCTCAGTTTCCATGTGTATTAAATGATGACCCCCTAAAAGCACTGAAGCTCTAGACTCATCTTCCCGTTAGCAATTCTGTGTACCTCTATAGTGGTATGCTTATATTTAAATTTTGTCTCTAATAAATATGAATTTTTAATCAAATACCTGGAAGAAAAATATCACTCATATCAATTAGGATTCTCTTGATTTCAAGTTATAAAAACCGGTTCAAACCAGCAAGGGGAAATTTATTATAAAGCCAGAGGGATGCTTTACAGAACCTATGGGCAGAAATGTAGAAAGAAACTGGGGCCAGGACGTGGAAGGCCATGGGGAAACCTGGAAGCCCTCTCTCAGTTCCGCAGGCTCCCTCTCCCTCTCTTCTTCTTTCTCTCTGTAAACTACCTCTGCTTCTCAAGTACACACATCAGAGAACATGGTTACCAATAGAACCCAAGTTTGCAGCCACCTGCAGAAACACCGAATGTCTCTCTTGATTTCATTCCCATTGTCTTAGGAAGTAGCCACTGACTGACCCGTCTTGAACCAGCCATTCACTCCAGCCCACATTGCACAAGTATGTCTGCCCCAAGCCTACCCTTATGCGGCACGGTGGAGTAATCATCAGAGAAGAGATCATCACTGTTTTGGAGACAACCCAATAAATATCTGCCCCAACTACTTCCCACAGTTTTCAGAGGACAAAGCTCATTATAATCATGTGCTAATTCTTATTTTCAACATTAACGGTGAAGCTTCAAGGAGTTACTTCTCCTTAATGTCATAGATTGCTCTCAGGTTTGTGAAGTCTGTAGTATTTTGTTTGGTTTTGTTTAATCCTTTCAGTCTTTAGTTTCAAGGGTCTGATGAAACAGAACTATCCTGAATGAGTCATAAAATTACCTAGAATAAAAACTGAGATTTTCCCACAGATCTTAAATTAGTATATTTTTTAAAAGCCTCATTTCCTCAGGCACACAGGGATAATGAGAAACGTAGACGGTGAACTGGTTGTTCATCCTCCGTCATGTGTATAGACCCAAAGACCAAAGGCCACTTCCCTGCTTTGTTAGCCTGAGTGGATTTTAACTGTAAGGAACTTTCTGATTCTTAAAACTGAGGTTGGGAAAGACAGAGGCAAACTTGATCTAATTCTCTTTCAAATTTTGCTCATAAGTTTTCAGAAGAGCCCAAAGAAGAAGGGAGACTTGGTTTTTTGAGGTGATGGGAGGAGGTAGATGATAGAAAGAATCAGAAATTTGAATTGAAAACTGAAATAGATGAGGAAGCCAAGATGCACTGGATCTGAGCATAGTGGCTCATGCCTGCAATCCCAGCGCTTTCGGAAGCCGAGATGGGCGGATCACCTGAGGTCAGGAGTTCAAGTCCAGCCTGACCAACATGGTAAAACCTCATCTCTACCAAAAATAGAAAAATTAGCTGGGTGTGGTGGCACATGCCTATAATCCCAGCTACTCCAGAGGCTGAGGCAGGAGAATTGTTTGAACCCGGGAGGTGGAGGTTGCAGTGAGCTGAGATTGCACCATTGCACTCCAGCCTGGGAAACAAGAGTGAAACTCCATCTCAAAAAAAAAAAAAAAAAAAAAAAAAAAAAAAAAAAAAAGATTTCACTGGAGAAGAACGAGGAAACAGGAAGGTCTGGAGAAAGCGTC